GGGGGGACCCGGATTCTCGATACTGGGACCGTCGCATTTAGGTGCATCCAGAGGTACCCACATGTAGCGGAATCGGAGCCAATTAGGGTTTAAGGAATGGAAGACCAATTCTTATCGTGGAGCCAGGTCCGATAAGGCCCCACGTAATACGTGGTACGTGGTACGTTGTACGTATCGACGGAGTATTGTTCCCTGAACGAATACAGCGCAGCAGCTCTCTCCTTCCTTCGTATTCCCTACTAAGACGTATTACATGGAGGAAAGCAGGAAAAGAAGGGGGAAAAAAAGAATAAATAAAAAAAGACGTCGAAAGTCTTCAAGTGCAGTGTCTATTGGATTGGTTCATTCCCACAGTAGAGCAGACATCGTAGCTTCTTTAAAGATGTCCCATGCTGAACTCAACTCATTAACCGCTTTATGCGAAGGCTGATGCCGCTTCCCCCTTAAACTGGCCCGGGCGGCATCTACTAGACAGAAATCACCCCAGTCTTGGGTTTCATATCTAGATTTTATCGTGGGAGGGCCAAAGATATATAATAGTTCCGTTCCGGCCTCTGGTCTTTCCTTTCGTATTTGCCATCCCCATTCCCATGCTCGACACCCGCTTACTTCATAGGCCAAGCTCACTGAAGCCACGTCCCACCCGAGGACCGCCTTCCTCTTTCGTAGAGCCACTTGTTGTTAAGACCAACGCTGGTACGCTTCCCCGCCAAAGGACTAGGCGTCGTATCCGGGAAGAGGCTCGATGCCGTACTCGCCGCAAAAGGGGTAGGAGAGCCGAAGGAGGATCGCCGGTTGGCGATGCTGTTGGCGAACTTGGACGGGCTGTTGTTCGCAGGCGAAAAGGGGGATCCGCCGGACTTGATCGGGCTTCCTCGTCCCGACAACGGGGAGCTGGTGTAGCTCCGGTTGCTGGCCACCGACCCGGCCAGAGACGGGGTCCTCGAGTACCGAGGCGGGGTGCTGTAGGTGGCGTTCGGCGTGGAAGGCTTGGAGCCAGCCGGCAGGCCCAGCAGCTTTCGCTGGGCCGCGGTGAGCGGGATGTCGTCGAGGTTGTCGTTGGGTCGCAGCAGGGGCAGCACGGCGAAGCCGATGTTGACGAGCGGTATCGACTGTAGCGCGAGGCGGGCCCAGCCGAGGTAGGTGCGTGTTGGACCTTTGATACTGTACTGGTCCGTTAGCAACCCGATGTTTTTTTTTCTTTGGGGCACACCCCTCCATGGCAAAGCATTCGGAAGTCGGGCCGTGGTTACGTACAGCTCAGGACCGATGAAGTACCGTAGGCCGACCTGCACAGCCCATATACCGACAATGGCTAGGACACTCCAGAATATCCTGCGAACGTTCTTATCGGAAAAAGTCGTTGCGTTGCGTCGCCTGGCGATCTCGTCGAGTCGAGGGTGACGCCACGTTCCGGGGCTGTCGGTCACTGGGGGTGTGTTCTTGGGCGTAGACTTCAAGGGTGTTTGGGTAGCCACCCTGCTGGCGATGGGGGTGGTTGGCATGATGCTTTGTGGCAGCCGGGCGGGTCAGTTGGGATATCGAGGATAGAGGGAGTTGGTCCACGGGGTCTGGCGAGGAGAAACGGATAGGTGAGCAAAGAAACAGACCCGCCGGCAAGGAAAGAAAGCAAGCATAACGACCGAAAGAACCAAACAAATACTGACTTTCTTGCAGTCGTAGTTAAACCTGTTGAATGTTAGTATTCTCTCTTCTAGCCCAGCCGGGCTTGTTGGCGACGAGGTTTCTCCGATGCGCCGATGATGGTGGTTTTTTGTTGATGGTTGGAATGGAGACGAGATGCGTCGCGAAAACAATTGGGAGACTGACCAGGATGAACGGTTTCGGCGGACAACGGAGAAGACCCCACAAATCTGCAGGGGTTCCACCTTAGGGACGCAGTAACTAATATTGCGCACTGTGGACTTAAGCCCATTTATCTGTCATCTGCTGACTGTGCAGTAGCTATATGTACTGTGTACCTTATTGTACGACAAGGACACTACCTAGCCACAGCGGCCCAAAACCAGCCCCACCATTGACGTGCTTAAGCCACGCAGCTACTTAATACTTTACGTATCGGATTCCACTCAGCCCCATCTGTCCCTCCCGCTCTTACTGTATGTATCACGGGCGCTCTTCTCCATCCCTCCCCAACCCCCCCCCCCAACCCAAAGAATTGCGTGCCGTTCAACCTCGTTCCAACCCTTTCCATCCCCAAACGAAATCGACAGCAGAGCTGAGCTGAACCTCCTCTGCTTGCAATTCCTTTTTTCTTTTTCTTTTTCTTCTTTCTTTTTTCCTGCCATGGGTGTCTTCGACAACCTGATGCTTGGCCTCGACCAAGGCCTGTCGGAGTTCTTTGCGCAATGGAACGCCTACTCGACAGCCCTCGTCACCCTCCTCGTCCTCGTCATCTCTTACCGCCTCGTTACTCATAAGGAGCCCGATGTGCACCCTCTGCTGCTGGCCCGTCAAGCCCAGTCCTCTCCCGTCCGACAGGAGGGCGAGTCTCCGGTCTATCGTGCCCATGGCGTTCCCCATGGCATGGCCTTGAACAGCGGGCTCAACATTAAGGATACCGGTGCCTCCAAGTGGTCATGGGGCCGCGACGGAGATCTACGGGATATATGGCGCAGGGCTGTTGCTGGGACGCCTGAGGAAGCCGGGAAGCCTTCGGGGACCAAGGGACGTTTGCTGACGGCTCATGGGCCGAAGATTGAGGCCCATTCTCTTGGTTGGTTCCTTCCTTTTCTTCTGCTTCTTTTTTCTTCTTCTCCTGACAAATCTAGACGACATCACGCGCCAAATCAACCTGCTCGGCCGATACCTTCACGATCAAGGCGGAATCCGGGTCGCCATCTATCTGCCCAACTCCATCGAGCTCCTCGCAACTCTCTTCGCCTGCTGCTTTTACCCGAACCTCATCCCCATCCTCATCCCCTTCGGTGTCAAGGAAGATGAACTTGTGTCCATGCTACGCCGCTCTGCCGCCGATACGGTTGTCACCGCTCCTGGCGCCTTCCCCTTCAACGTTGTCGTCGAGTCGTACCCCGCCCTTCGTCAACTGGTCTGGGTTGCGGACGAGGGCAACCGTCACATGGACTGGAACGAGGTGCCCCAGGGCATGGGCGGCAGCGTCAACGTCGCCACATGGCAGGACATCGTCCAAGAGGCCCCCGTCGCCGCCGGTACCGAACTCCCCCCGGCAGCCGGTCAGCAAGAGGCGCAAGACATCATCATCTTCTGGCAAGGCAAGCCCGGCTCCGTCGACGAGATGGTCCGCTTCTCCCAAAACAACCTGGTCTCCGCCGTCGCCGCCCAGCTCGCCGCCGTACCCGCGGCGCAGCGTCTCGGGCCCTCGGACCTGTTCCTCCCCGCCGACTCTCTCACGAACGTCTACACCCTCGCCCTGACCCTGACCGCGCTGTACTCGAACGCCTCGCTCGCCCTCACCTCCGTCGCCGGCAAGTCGGCCGACCTGATCCTGGCCACCCAGGGCGTCGCCCCCACCGTCGTCGTCGCCTCGCCCGAGACCCTCCTCAACGTCCACCAGGAGTCGTCCCGCAAGCTGTCCTCGGTACCGGCCAAGCTGTCGCACTGGCTCCGCACCCGGAGCCTCGTGGAGAACGGCGTCATGCCTACTTCGTCGGCGACTTCGGGCTACCACCCCGCCGTGGGGACCTCCCCGAAGAAGCTCCGGCTCGTCTACACCGCCGAGCGGGCGCGCGCCGGGTCCCCCGCCCTGTCGTCGCAGGTGTTGTCCGACCTCCGGGTCTGCCTGGGCGCTCGCGTCGTTTACGCCCTCACGGCAGCCGAGGTCGCCGGCGCCGTTGCGCAGACGGGGTACTACGACTACAGGCTACAGCCGGAGACTGGGTCTTACTCGCATTTCGGCGCCCCTGTCACGAGTACCGAGGTCATTCTCCGCGACACGCCAGACCTGAAGTCCACCGATGAGCAGTATCAAGGAGAGGTGAGTTTCTTTGCTTTACCATGCGTGCTGGTGTTTTTTAGAAGAAAAAAAATGAAAAAAACTTTTGATTGCGGTGGGAGCTAACACTGTCTTTGTCGTAGATCGTTGTCAGGGGCCCTTCGGTGGTCGGAAACGAGGCCGCCTTGGGGGTCAATGGGAAGATCCTCGAGGACAACACTCTCGCATATGTATGAGAAGGAGGTTCATAGGAAGACACGGAGACAGAGAGAGAGAGAGAGAGAGAGAGTTCTTTGCTTTGTTATGCCTTCCGAGGATAGCGAGGCATCTTTTACCTTCCACCATTAGACCCGGTTGACCTGATGCGAAAGACCAAGCGAAGCCGGAGAACGTTCCTAAAAGACGACTTTATTCTATGAGATGAATATGACGAATCAACTTAAAAATAGAATACTGTGAGATTCTGCCCGACAAACCCCGATCAAATGTAGGCGTTGTAAAAGCCTGGCTAGCCCGAGGGACTCCCCCGGGAGTGATGGCTTTGCTGTTTGTGTATGCGTGGTTGTGGGTGTCTATCAAGTACTGAATAGCAGAGTAGACGCGACACATGAGTCTTATGGTCGTAAGGGGATGAAGAGACAGCGATGAAGAATAATACATCTACATATAATCAGTAGTATAGGTAACTTGTCGGCAAACTGCCGTCAGATGCAGCCGCCAAATGCTCGCAAAATATGCTCGTATGCCAGGTGTAAAATTTGCCCATTTTATTTACCGAAGCCATCCCGCCGACGGGGTAGCCGACACTGGTTATCTTCTTTCCAGGGTACTGTGAAGGGTGTGCTGCTTCATGAACGAAAGACTGACGAGGGTCAAGAGGGAGACGCCGAGAATGGTGAGCCAGACGCCGCGGAACGCTTCGATGAAGGATTCCATGACGCCTTCCTTCCAGGCTTCCGGCAGGTGCTTCAGCTCGTCCAGATCGTCGCGGATGCGGCTGATCCTCTCCGCAGCGTCGGGGTAGTCCTTGAAGCGGGCCCAGAGGTTCGTCTTGAGGAGATTCTGGTACACGGTCGAACCGACGGTCACGCCGATGGTTCCGCCACAGCTGCGAGCGAGGTCTAGAAAAACGGGGAGAATCGTGGTTTGGGTTAACTTTGTGAAAACTTCCCGTGAGGGTGTGTAACGAGAGTGAGGGGATACGAAGGACGAACTTACAAGTAGCAGACGTGATGACGGCCTGGTGGGAGTGATCCACGGCAGCGATGCAGGCCAGCAAGGTCACGGTCAGCATGGCGCCGTAGCTGCCACCGGTCATGAAGAAGGCGACACCGACGACCCAAGTGGGCGTGTCGGCGGTGAAGGTGGTGAGGATGACGGAGGCGGCGACGAGCAGCAACCCCGAGGCGATGCCCAGGACGAGGTAGCGACCTGTGCGCTTCATGATGTAACCGGAACTCACGGAGCAGATGGAGACGCCGAGCGGCGCGGGGAGAAGGCGCAAGCCGGCGTCGGTGGTGGAGAGGCCGATGACCTGGAGGTAGACGGGCAGGTAGAAGAGACTCATCATGATGACCATGGTGCCGAGGAAGCTGGCGAGACAGGCGGCGAAGACGGTGCGGTGGGCCAGCAGGCGCACGGGGATGATGGGGAGGCGCGCGCGAGACTCCCACACGAGGAAAGCGACCAAGGCGACGACGGAGAGCGGGATGGCGGTGAGAGGTAACGGGTGGGACCACGGGACGGAGTTGCCGCCGGTGTTGAGGCCGAGGAGGAGGAGCACGAGGAAGGCGATGGTGAGGAAGGCGCCGACGAAATCGATACGGGCGAGGTAGGATTTCTGCGAGGCCTTCGGGGGCACGCGGACGAGGAGGGCGACGATCACGGCGGAGACGAGAACGGGGGGCACCTGGACGAGGAAGGCGAGGCGCCAGCCCCACGGGGAGTTGTCGTTGATGAAGCCGCCGAAGACGCCGCCGAGCATGGCGCCGGAACCGTAGGCGATGTTGCCGACGCCCTGGATGACGCCCCGGCGCCGGAGGGGGACGAGGTCGGAGGCCAGGAAGGTGGCGATGGACATGAGACCCCCGCCGCCGATGCCGGCGACGACGCGGCCCAGGATCATGACGGACTGGTTGCGCGCCAGGCCGCAGATGAGGTTTCCCGCCGCGAAAAGCAGGTTGCTGAGGATCAGGCCCGGGCCGCGGCCGAAGATGTCGGTGAGGCGGCCCGAGAGGGGCTGGCAGGCGGCGTTGGAAATGAGGTAGGCGGTGGCGAGCCAGGAGAGCAGGCTGAGGGACTTGAACTCGGAGGAGATGGGGGCGGAGAGGGTGGCGATGATGGTCGAGTCGATGGCGCCGAGGAAGACGCCTAGGTAGGCGGCGCCGAGGATCAGGGCGAGGCGGCCCGGGGGGACGGAGGCGGTGATGACGGTTGTTTCGTCTTCGTCGGCCTCGGCGTCGGCCTCGGCGTCATCCCAGTCAGAAGAATGGGCTGTCGTTCCGTAACCATTGTGGCCATTGGCTTCGCCGGACAGTTCGGTGTCTGTTCGGTCATTGAGCAGAGGCGCCGTTTCGGGGTTAGATGTGGCATTGACGTCCTTGTGGGCGGTGGGAGTGATGAGAGGCGGCGGCGGCTGCTCCTCATCTGGCCAGTCTGGGCTGTTGTTTCCAGAGACCATTGCGAGCCAAGTGTACGTCGTCCAAAGGCGAGACACCCCTCGTCTTTTGGGCTTTGTTACGGGCCCGGAGAAGATGAGAAGATGATATGAGGTGTCGAACAGTGTCGGACAGTACGTGACGTGAATGCTCGTACTCTTCTCCCTGGGCCCGAGTCCAACGAAATTCATTACATAAGGCAATAAGTCAACGCTCGCGTCGGGGCCGAACACGGGGGAGGAGTGGGGGAAATTGCAGCTTAGGCCGAGATCGGTGGGGCGGTTGAAGGATGGGGTAATCAATAACGCCGACCACCTTTGTTCCTTTATTTGTATAAAGTAATTACTCCGTACCTACCTAGGTACCTACCTACGCAAGTGTCTTCGTCTAGGCCCCGTTCGCGAAAGCTCACAACGTGGGAAATCCTCCCATCGTGGCGGAAAAATGCACAACTCATGACCCACCGATGGCATAAGGACCCCTTTTGTATGATATTTTCAGTGTAACTGCATTTTTTATGCATCCCTCTGTCATCCCCCTGTTATCCAGGTACCACGCTAAGCAGGGGGCCACGATAGGAGGAAAACTCACAAGATGGGAGGATTTACACGTAATCTCTTGTTAGTATCCAAAAGGTGGTAACAACGTAAAAAACTCACAAGATAGGCTCCGCAGTTAGCCGCGCCGTGGCTGACGAGGCTGACGTTGAAGCTATTCCCAACGTTGAAGCTATTCCTAACGACGAGGGCGATATATCAATATGTTATAAAGTGACCCTTCTATGATATCCTCTATACTAATAGAACCCAGGGCCGCTATATCGATGTACGTGGTAGTCACCACGATGCTTTCCACCAGCAAAAAAGTAGTGTCTTTTGCATACGAAAGACTTGACCCGGCATCACGGATCGGCTTAATATTTCCCCGATATGCCTCCCTCATTTCTGCATAAAAAGATACATCGAGGGCACGGACTAGCGTCAAGATAGCGCCTTGGCTCTGTTTGTAACTTTCACAAAAGCCTCCTAAAAAAGCTCCCATCTTGTGAGCTTTCGCGAACGGGGCCCTAAGGTACTTCGTACACCTATAGACTTTAGGTACCGCAGGGGACTTGTGCACGCTTGCCCCAACACGGAAGCCAGTGCAGCCCTTGCCATCAGGGTTCACGCGAGCTTACCTCCTATATCGGCCTCCCCCCATGTCCTGTAACAAACTGCCCTCCTAAGCCCCGGCCTCTCCCCCTCAATATATAGTCTTCTTAACTTTCCCTTTTCCCAGCTGGCTTCTGCTCGCCTGTCACCATCGATCAATGTAGTCTGTCAGTGTGGACGCCTGTTCTTCCGCCCTGCTACTTTCCGGACGACTCTCCTAAACCGAATATCTCTTCGCTGGGTCTTCTCGGCCGCAGTGACGCTGAACTCGGCCTCTATTGATCCACTCCACTGTTACCGAGATGGACGAGTCAAATGAAGAGACCCAGAGCGTTCCCCCAGGAAACCCACGATGAGGTCGGACCAAATGTTTGAGCCGACAAGCTGTGCCCAGACCAGCGATGCCACTGTCCTGTCGCCCTTGTCGACTGGGATGGAAAGGCGGTTTGCAGGCAGGATGTCGGGTCATTCGGCATTCACGTCATAGGTCAACGGCCCGGCCCAACGTCCATTCTCTTTTTGCATCTTGCCTGATCCATACACAGCCGACTATCCGCTCGTGTCAGATATTCCCTCCTCGTCATAATGACTCACTGAGCAGGTACCGACCGGATTCATGGAGCTCGTCTCTCGCCGACACGATCTTCCTTTGCTATTTTCCTTCTCGGCCTCTACTCCGTGTCACCAAGACTCGCCTCAGTTACTGAACGGCTCGGGCGAAATACTCAGTTCGACGCGGGAAAACACTTCCTCGTTCATCATTCCACCAGCTATCCCAGGCGATAAGTGGCGTTCTCGGCTGGGATCTAGATTTGGCATCTCTACGGCCTATGCCGTTTGCCATACTGACGCCAGTAGTTCGTTCAGCTGTTTCGGATGGCCCAGGTCGACAGTGCTGTATCGGCGTTTCTCCCCTGGCAGACAGAACGGAGTCTGCAAAATCCCCGAGCCCGGGGGGTGCGACGATGCAGCAAGTTAATGGACGATTCTCAACGGCAAGGAATGGACTAGGTGCCTTTGCATCAACAGATCCCGAAGAAATCGATGATGAATGGATTCTTCCTTTGGACGTCTGGACAAGCTGACTCTCAACTCGGAAGAGTTCGGGTACCAGTGGGAAGAGAGAGAACGATGCCGATGTGGGTAGTGTGTTCCAACGACGATGGGGGCCGAATGGAGCCGGAGCCGGAGCCGGAGCCGGAGCCGTCGGAAGTTGCGGACCGTGGACGGGAGCTACGTTATTGGAACCGGTGCTTTGTCATGTTCCGGTCGTGGCGCCACAAAATCAACGCAGTGCCACAGTACAACCGATAGATGTGCCGGCTGCACGAGAAAGAACGACTTTCGGAAGGACGATGGGCATCACTTCGGGCGCTTGTCCACTACGGAGAAACCACCGACTGGCCTCAAGGAAGTGTTGGCGCCGCGGAGTCGGTTTGCACAAGGGCAAGGACAGGAGGAGGGGCGTCCATCCGGCGTTTTGGGGGCCGAATGAAACGGCGCACGAACGTGGACGGTTGACACGTGGGGCGATGTCCGATCACATGGAATATTTCGAGGTGATAATGCGCAACTCGGCCACGTCGGAGATTACGGAGAAGCATTGGACAACGACAATTCCGAGATGGTTTCGGGTCTGGTATCAGGATATCCGTGCTTGCCGCTAATACGCATCGAGCCACTCGACCAACTAACTGATCAAGGGAGTAGACTGGTCGAGGAGATACCTCTTTTCAGGAGGGACTCGTATAGCAGCCGTTAGGTGCAATGCCTCCTTTTCTTACCGAAGACGAGCGAGTGGACCAAGTTGGGCCGATGAGAGAACGACGAAAATTGGAATCGGGGGCGGCAAGCAACAGTCGTCGGAAATGGGCGAGAGCATCCGAGGAGAAGTAGACACCAGGGGTCAAGACAACAACGGACGACGACAACCGAAGACGATGAACCGAGCAAGCTTTCTAGACCCCCCGAGTACGACGCAGAGGAACAATTTTCCTCTTTTCTTCTTCATTTTCTTCCGAGACCGACATACGGAGTATACAGCGTCTGGCGAGACCCCTCGGGCCACATGTGGGACGCGATGCGATGCGACGCGACGCGCACCCATGTTTGTTGTTCATGCGTACCTGCATATGTGTCTCTGCCCGGCGACCATGTGTGGCAGAAACACTACCTACCATGGAGCTCCCTACCATGTGCGCGATCAGATTGTCCGGTCACGTCATCGACACCTTGTCAGGGGACCACTGTCCTCCTGAGAACACTGGGTAATATACTCCGGAAGGCATTGTGGTCATGTCTACTCGGCAGATTCGTGGTCCCGGAGATGCGTGATACACTTCAGGGATATATTATCAGTAGCCAGAGGCGATACCTGTGCCTAAGATGTATGCCCTGAATGATAAGCAACCGGGAAACGGAGGGGTGAACTGAACATAGTATGGATATCCGTCGGGGACCCAGTACCTAACCCCTTGGACCCTTATCATGGGCGAGGTGGGACGGTCACTAGAAGCCTCACTAACGTTCTGTTGTATCAAACCCCAGACCCGTCTCATCTCAATCTCATTCATGCATGTATGCATGCATGCATGCATTCATTCGTCCCTTGTTTTTATCTGGCTCCTCCGTCCGTACGGGTGTATGTACCTCGCTACCTTATCCATACATACAATCTAATCGTTCAGAATCCCACATGTGGCCCCCCTGAACAACCTGTTTCTTCTGCCGCATCTACAGCCTACAGTCCACGCCACATAACAACTCATGATTTCGGCCAGCCAACAACATAACATATGTACTCTGTCTGATTCTGATCGTGCATGATCCCACGCGGCGTCTTGGCAACGCACCATCTCTTCCGTTCTGTGATTCCTTCCCTGATCCCACGCAACCCGCTTCCATCGCTATCGCCAACCGCCTCACCCCTGGGTCTTTCCCGCATCCCCCCCGCCCCCCCCACATAGTTTAGGCTACGGCTGCTATGAAAGCGCGCTTGCATCATCTGTATCCGTCCTCCGACGCCATGAGCGGGACCTGCTAGCGTCTCATATATGGCGGATGCTTTGGAGTTTCTCCGTTATCTGGCCTGCCGCGGCTGAAGGCCTAGGCCGTCTTTCCAATACTATATACTGTCGAATTAGTCTCGTGCCTCGCGACTAGGCCCGTCAGACCTCGCGTGGTTGCGACAGACACCCGAACACCCATCAAGAGACAGCATCATGACATCAAAATATACCGGAAATGTTTGCCCATTGGAATCAAAGAGACATCGGAATATTTGCCATTGCCATCGTATTTGCTCATATACTTCATGATTCGACGTTTCCTTCTCTCTCGCTTTGCTCCATGACTACCTAATAGTATATTGGTATGGTTGTCAACTCCCCTTGCACCCTTCCAACAGATACATCTCATCATGTTATTACATGCCGCAGCCGTGACTCTCCGTATATCGTCAATGGTAGTCCAACGTTTCCCATGGCTCAAAAGTCAGCGAAGAATAAACCTTGTGATTATGCGGGTGATGATGCCCACAAGCTCGTCTTGTTTTTGCTCCCTATCACCAAGCTCGTTCCAACTGGGGCGGCTTTGCGTTGTTCCCTGTTTTTATTGTCCTTTTCTTTTGATTTCTTGATGTTTTTTTTGTTTTTCGCCTTGGCCTTCCCCTCTTCGTATGCTGCACCCCAAATGCAATGACCGCCCGCCCTCGCAGAACCTGCGACTCGATGATGTATTCCAAGAATCCCAAACAAACCCCTCCAACGCCATGCCGACATGTGCGAGAAAACTTGAATCCACAACCCTTTCTCTGTTTTTGTGTTGCCACTTCAGAACATGATCCACTCCACCTCAACACCAGGCCCGCCGATACACCGAGTCCAATTGAACGGCCCTCGTCGCATAGCCTCCATCTTCGCCACCCCGGGGCTCCGAGGCTCGTGATGCTCGCTCCAGTCCCCGGCCCAGAGCCTCTCCAGCACGTCGAGCGCCGCCAGGTTGTTCATGTACCCGGACCTCGTCATGATGTCCTGGCACTTGCTCCGCACAATGTTCTGCTGCAGCTCGTTGACGCATTCGCTGCCCGCCACGAACAGCGGCCACAGGAGGAACTTCTCCGCCACGCTGCCGGGCTCGAGGCTCGTCGCGTAGTACACCACCTGCGACACCAGGTTCTGGAAGATGCTGTGGCTCGACGGCACGTTGGGCGAGGCCAGCCGTTCCGTGTACAACAGGGCCGCGTACCGGAACGCCTCAGACAGCGAGCCCAGGTCGCGCAGCTGCGCCGGCGTCGCCAACCCGGGCAACGAGGCCTGCAGGCGCGCCGTGTCGAACTCCCAGCTCTGCAGCGCCAGCCGGGCGTCCTTCCACTCGTGCCAGAAGTTGCTGCGCTGTTCGTCGTATGACGTCGACGAACAAACCGCCGACGAGAGGAGTTCCTCGTCGTCCAATGTCGACCCGAATCCGTTTCCGTCGAACCGGTGGTGGCCCGGCATGTTGTACAACTCGTTCAGTGGGTGTTGTTGGTGCTGGTGCTGGTGTTGGTGTTGGTGCTGGTGTTGGTGCTGGTGCAGGTGCCCGATGCTCCCCTTGTGAGCGTGACCCAACGGAGGGTTCAAAGGAGACTGCGATCGGGATGGGACGTTGCGGGGAAGTGTCGAGCCGTTGGTGACAAGGTTCTGCACCGGCCGATGTTGGGAGAGCAGATGGAGCCTGCCCAGCTTGCTGATCGTCTTGAACAGCTCGATGTCGCAGCCTACGAGGTTTTCGGCGCCCGGTGGGAGCAAGGGCGCGTCCGGCATGACGCCGTAAAAATTCGTGTTGAGCTGTGCCTCGCGGTCGTTGATGCTGGCCGAGATGGCGTCGAAGTAGGTGAAGATGGCCTCCATCCAGGCCGAGTCACGCGTCGGTCCCATGGACTGCTGCGACCGCCGCCTCATGGCCAGGATCTTCTTCACACCGGCGAACTGTGTGTGGAATTTAGCAATGCCCGACTCCACCATGCGGTAGTGGCAGAGGAGGAGGATGGTAGCCAACACCGAATCGTGGCTGGACTTGGCCGGATCGTTGAGTTGCTGGTTGAGGAGGTGCACCGCGAGGTTCCGGTGCTGATATTCCTCCGAGAGGGACTGGTCTTCGGGTTGGGACTGGGACGGGGATTGTGTGGGGTCAGTCATGCCGTCGGCTGCCGACTTCTCCGCCATGAGCTTCTCGGAAAGCTCCCGCGTGCCCTGACCCAGGCTGAGCCGCCGCTTCATCCGCAGGTTGCAGGCCGAAAGCGCGCAAATGGCGTGCTGGAGGCTCTGGCTGCTCGCCGCGAGCTGCAGAATGTGGTCTCGGTACGGGTTGTTGGGACCGTCGATGAGGACCATGGATTGGCACATGGTGTGCTTGTAATAGTCCATGAAGAAGGGCATCTTGGAGATGAGCTCCTGGCTCACACGGATAGGCTGTGGCTCAAAAACCGTAGGCCATCGTGCTGGAGTCGGATCAGAGGGAGGCGGTGACATGTCTTCCGGAGGCGGTGACGGCCATACTGGACCGTTGGAGTTGCAGCTGGTGCTATATGCATCCATCTCAGGGACGCCTGTGATGCCAGGGCATTGGTGTTAGCGCGCGCGCGAAGAAATTTACGGGCTGAAAAGAGGATTGCGGTTCTGTCTCACTCAGGCTGTCACATTCCGCCATGAGTCTTTGGCTCAGTTGGGTCTCGAAGTTGTCCATGTGCGAGTGCAGGCTGGAGCTCTGGTCCGAACCTGCGTAGACCAGGCTCGGACACGAAGTGGGCGCCCTCTGATCCATAAGAATGGTAGAACCGGGGCTCTGAGCGATGGGGGAACCGTGGCCGCTGAAGTTGTCGTACATGACGTTGGGGCTGTGGAGAAATGGGATGTCATCGCGCGGATACGAGTGGCTCACGGGCGATAGGTAGTCGACCTCGCTAACCGAGGACGAGAGGGAGTCGGGGATGGCGATAGGGCCCAAGTGGGCGCCGAGTTTGCGGTAGCTCGGGCCTTCGGTAGGGACACTGTTCGAATAGGGCAGGCCGTTCCAGTGACTAGCATCAGATAGAGGCCGCGTGGGCTCGGGATGGCTCATGGCTAGGACGTCGTAGGCATGAGGGTAGGGGGTGGTGGGGTTTGAGCTCATATGCTGCGGCGATAGGTCGACATCGTCAGGCATGGTTGTCCTACACGTCTCGTCCGTGTCACTCCAGGCACTGCTAGTCGCGGTCGAGCTCGCTCGCGCCCTTGCACTAGGTGACTTCTTCGAGACGCTGGCCACGGGGGGTGCTTTGGCTATCGGGAGAGACAGCCCCCTCAACTTGCCTCGACTGGCAACGCCGACACCCCAAGTAAGTTGCGTCTTATATCCGGAGCACTCGTTGCCGATCTCGAGACATGGCGAGCAGTAGGGCCGTCGTCGATCACACTTGACAGTCCTCTTGGCACATGTGAAGCAGTCGTCGGTGGCGCCACCAGCAGCAGTGCGTCTCCTGCGCTTGCGGACAGCTTCCTTAGCAGGGGGAGCAACAGCAGCAGTAGCAGCAGCCGCAGCAGGAGGAGGTGGTGGATGAGTTGGTAGCTGCATCGTGGCGATTGTCATATTGAGAGGTGGGTGACAGACTGTCGAGGTGGCAGATGGGACATATGTGACACGACAGTTCAACAAGAGCGTCCAGTCTAACAACAGCCAGACAATAATAAGCTATGAGACACGGGGCCGTGAGAGAGAAGAGAGAAGACGGAAGAGGTCAGTCAGTAAGAAGGATACTGGGTTTGAGTGTCTCGTAAATTAGGACGAGGGTAGCAAAAAGGGTAATGGGAATTATGGGCAGAGGCGTGGGATAAGGGAAGCACGTCTTAAGAAGAGTAGACAATGGGGACAAGGCTCTGGGGAAGCTGTGATTCTTTAGTCCTTCCGCCAGGGACAAGGCTTACTTGCATGGACGAGGGGTTCGATGAGGGAGAGGCCAATGCAGGCTACATGAGGAGCATGGGAAGCAAGTCAACAGATAGGAACGCATGGATAGCAACGAGCAGGGTTGGCACATTGTACCTTGTAAGTAGCCTAGGCCTCGGCGGGGGGCAATGCGGAACAGAGGGACAGGGGTTCAGGGGGGTGGAGAGTGGTGGGAAGTGGGAGTTGGTGAGTTGGAGGAGCGGCGTTGAGGGGGATAGGACGCTGAGGAAATATGGGTAGGGTACGTTGTAGGTAGTGTAGGTAAGGCAGGGCAGACAAGCTCGTGTGTGTCGTAGCTCTGTGACGATATGGTTGAAGGGTGTCGCTGGACTGGAGTACCGGGGGCGTCTTGGGGATAAGAACGGGAACTCGAGAGGATGGGAGTGGCAACCCAGTTGCCAAGAACAGGTACATCGCGGGCGATATTATTGTATGGAGTTACCTCCTAAGGGGAAAAGTACGCTGTATCCGTAGCGGACGAATAACGTAGTCGTCCGGCAAAGAAGCAATGCTTATTCCCATTCGTCCAAGGGAAATGTAAATGTGCCTTTAGGAGGTGGGGGGGGGGGGTGGTGTGGAAGATGGAAGTGAACGTTTTCCGATGGCCTTTTGGGTTCCCGGCACTTGCGGTTGGTCTTTTGGTTGCGTTGCTTCTTCTTCTTCTTTTTGCTCCCCGCTCCCGGTTCGTTTTATCTAGGTAAAGATAAAAGTGTCAGCGGGAGGAATCAAGAACAACGACCATGGCCAGTGCCGCCGAATTGGACATCAGCAATGGCAGCAGAACAGCGCAGCGAAGAATTCAGATTCCAGCTTCGATCAGCACCAGCAACCAGGAACAAGCAACAAGCAACAAGCACCCAGCACCCAGCACTAGCACCGACACCTGATGGGAATCGATATTGGTCGCCCCAGCGGCCAGATGCAGGCGGCAGCGTCGACAACAGGAAGAGGTCGGGTCGGACAGAGGACAAGCATAGCAAGGGCCCCCTGCTATGCCAAGGGGGGAGGCCGAGTGCATGTTCCACAGACATGCATGTACCTAAGAGTAGTACCCTGTACCTTGCCGCTATGTATGTTCGTCGCGATTCCTTAGCTTAGGTAGTCGATGGCTCCTTGTTGATGCTTGATGTGACAGGGTCAGGGGTTCTACCCGGTGTCGTTTCTCTCCCGAGCCCCTTCGGCCTTGGAATCGACTTCGTCTCGGTTCGGACTTAGAACGCGTAATGGACCATTCCACTCCTGATAGGCACTGTTCTGCCCCTTCTCACCACACAGACGTTGTGTACCCACACTTATAACCCCGGTCGTTCGGTAGATTTTGGGTCCTCCGCGTCTCACGGTATATCCGGTTGCGGAAGACACTGTATGTAAAGCCAAATTAATTCTGCCATGGTTTGAGATGAAACAACGTCAAGGTCCGTCTGTCTGATGAAATGGTGATGATGGAATGGATAACGAGGATGAAATCACCAGACTCTACATGTACGAAATATCCAAGTGGAAAACAATAGAAGAATCGGCAAAGGGGAGTGTAAATGAGTGGGGGCAGAGAAGAGAGGCGAGGCGAGACCTGGGAAGGGAAAAAAGGGGGGAGAGATGGAAAGCACGGGTGGGAGTGTGTGTGGGAAGTGTGGAAGTGTGGGAGTGTGGGAGGGAGACTGCTGAAGTGGTGGGAAGGAGAAAGCGGGAGGCAGACATCTGCCGCTTGCGCCACCTGGTTGGCGAGCGGCAGGCATGAGCTTCTTCTCTGTCACCCGGTCCTACCGGTCGCACCTCCCATCCCATCTCTGATACGCCGACACGCAAAGATGCCGGCATAGCATAGGAGAAACCCGAAATGAGGGCGGGTGGTGTACGGGAGCACCGCAAACGCAATGACAAGGTGCGAAGTCGTCGAGTGTTTGAAGGTACGTGTAGAGAGTAGGTAAGGTAGGTAATTGTTCGTCTTGCTCGTTGCGGAGGTCTCGCTAATAGTGTATCGTAGCGCTTATTACCTGTGTGTGCGGTTCGAGTCTCGCGCTGGGGTTTGGATGGTGAATGTGGGTGGGGGAGATGGGTTTGGGGATGGAAGACGAAAGAGCCAAAAGTACGTACCACACACGCGAGAAATTGAAATACCCGTATTGAGATTTCAGTCCCCTGTTACAAGGATATGTAGACGTACCGGGGGAACTATTTTACCTTAACAATACATACCTACTGTAAAGTACTTTTGTTTCGTGTGCCGCCATCACGGATCTATGCGTTTATACGAGGTAGCTTTCAAAAGATACCTCCATTAGGTAAGCCAAGTTTCTAAGGCCCTCCTCCGTAGCTACCTACCTTACCTTATGCAATTGACCAGAGTTGCAGCAGATATTTGTGTTGAAGTAGGAAGGACCGTCCTTGCCCTCTCCTCTCCTACACCCCACCTTCACCTTACTCACCCGGCGTAGGTACCTTGGCCCTAGGTCTGTTCAGCAACCCCGGTTCAATTATTATCTGATGTTGAAAAACTCGGCCTCTAAACTTCCACCAACCATCCATCACATTACAACATACCTTACCTTACCTTACTAAGGTACCTTTAGCTAGCTCATGACCGTTTTAATCATTCCTGCCACCTCGTACCATGTACCGCCCACCTGAGAACGTCGCTCTCGCCTGCTCGACCAAACAGAAAGCGCCAACCGGTGCAAGGGGCTGTCATAATTGGCAACGATTATCAAGCCCGACAGGGCAATGACGATCCAGCGTTCTCACCCTGGATCTTCAAAAAATCGCCTAGCGCACAGGCCGCCAGTACTTGGCTACATACAGCAACAAAGTACGGAGTATTTTTTCCCCAGGTTTGGCGGAGGGAGGAGAACTATCCCCTGATCCAAGGCATGAAAGACAATCCAGGAAAACACCATTTTTTACTCTACCTCGTTTGTCGGTTGCGATCGCATGAGAGCCTGCACGCCTTCTCCGTGGCCTTTCGGTGCAGAACGCAGAGCAGCCACTGTCTCCCGTGGCTTCGAGGATTATTTCATGCCGTGGACTTGTGGCTCTTGCTTCATCCTTGGCTTGCCGGTGCCCACGAACAGTCCGTGCTGCCTCCAAACGTCAAAAAACCCCACCCCAGTCTCCTCGGGCCTGTAGTCCGTCGAGGACCCCACCGCCTGTTGTCGCAAGCCTGTTAGGCGGCCAGACCTCGTTCGTGCGGGCATTCACATAGCATGGATGGACTGTGCTATAACCGCTCATGTCGCTTTAGACAAGATATTGCAGTGGTGGGCGTTTCCTTCTCCTTTCCCAGAGGGCCCCACGCTTCTCCGTTATGTACGTGTTTTTAAGTGCCCACAGGATCTTATCACGCTGTACCATAGCCACTGACCCCGGCCAGGAGCCACTGAAGGAAGCTTCTATGCAGCATTCGACAACATTTCCATAGGTGGCGTTATCTCCTAGGTGCAACGCTCCCGGCTACCCCGAGACCCTTATTAGCGCGACAGGCTTACAACGCACCTCACATCGCGCACGGCATACCTTAACCGACACCGAAGCCCACAGACCGTACATTGTGTACCGTCCTCTCCTAACTGTTTTGTAGCCGCCTCAATTGCATGTTTGAGGGACGGCCGAATCGTGGGTCTGGTATGATGCAGTTTCCCACTCGGAGCGAATTCCTTCACTACTGACCTCTCAACACGTAGCAGACCTCACCGTCATTTCTTTTGACAATGCCATTGTGGGAAGATGCCTGACGCTGCTTCGCATCAGGGGTGAGCTGCTCGGCGGACCAACCACAGGACGGTCAACGGATTCTGTGATTTCCCGAGATACCACGGTTTTGCGATCAAATGAATTAGGATGCACGCAAGTACTCGTCCCATCCCGTGCGCCACAGACGCACTTGTCCACAAAAAAGAGCGTCGATCTCTGTCACATGCAGGACCTTTCGTCGAAACGCTTTCTTTTTCTTCGTTGGCGTCAGCCTCTTTTCCCCGAGGCATCGCTGGACTCCGTGTCGGACCCTGCCGCCATTGTTCCCTTATGCTCGACAATTCGGTGTAGGATGGCGATGCAAGGCTGATGATCGTCGTTTCTTCGACAATCATGGTTAGGCGTTCAACTCTCGCGTCTCGCGGGGTGAGACGTCATTCGTACAGCCAATCGTTCTGAATCTCGAGCGAACTCGGTTTCGATTTGACGCCCAAACGAACCCACATCATGACGCTGCCTAGCATCGAGGGCAAAAAGACAGCGCAATTCCTCTGCCTGCTTACTCCTCTTTTTTTTCTTTTTTTTCTGCTTACTGCAGCAGTAGCATGCCAATGAGGGCTCGGGTCGCCGAGAATTTAGGTATCGTGGGTATCGTGCTAGCATGACCAGCGACTGGCAAAGGTTGAACGGCTAATCAAGTCACTTTCGTACGGCGGGGACGATGCTCCGCCAATTGATTGTGAGCCACTCGCGTATTGCGCCTGTCCAATTTACGGTAGCGAATACCTACCCGGTATTACTTCGTACGAAGTAGCCGGTGCCCCTCTCCTCGCCCCTCTGTTTCGTCATCCCCAAACCACATCGCTTCGGCGGGGCACGAAGGGCAAAACAACAACCGATAAGGAATTGGGCAACAATGAGCGCTCCAACCCCATGACCCGGTCCTATCATCAGTGAACTTGAAGTACTCGTTCCGTGCCGTCTTTCTCAAACCCAATCGGTCACTCCTGAGATTTGAAGAGAGGCATATACCAGTGCGGTTGTCCCGCTCACACCTAATACTAAGCAGATTCAAGCGACATCACGTCTTGGGGAGTCCGAACACCTACCCAAGTGTCCAGAACACCCAAGCATGCGTCCTGGGACGCTAGAATGATCAAAGAAGCCTGTATGGAAGCCCTCCGTCAGCCGGATGGAACTCTGGCCTCCCACAGGACAGTGTCCTGATAGGCAGAGCAAGGATCAGGGGTAGGCGGGATCGGGAGAGACAGGAACCCCTCACGAGAGCACCTCTGACCGCCATGCAACCCAAGGTGTCCTACTCGGTACGGAGTACAGAGTGCATGTACGTAGGCATGTATGCCACGAATACAACAGCAAGCGACGAACAACGAGGAAGATATTTCTGAACCCCCGGCCGCTTCAAGCCCCCTTATCAGGTGCTCTCTGTCGGGGGGTTCTCCTCCTAGCTTAATTAATCATCGGCGCAGCCCCTTCAGCTTTCATATCAACGACGGAGCCATTTACGTTGCATTATAGTGGAAGGGCAGTTTCAATATGACCGTCAACAGGTCACGCTCATTGGCTACCATCATGCTGGTGATGCAGTTCTCCGAGACGCTGCAAGTCATTTGGGACCTCCAATCCTTCCTAGATCGGGCGATCGATCAATATGCGGGATGTGCCTCTCCCTCGCACCCTCCATTCATCTACGGAGTACACATACAGCGCGTAGCTGGACTTGGGTACAAACAGCTGCGCATTATACGGAGATCCCACATGTGTGTCTGTACCTATGGGAGTGAGTGAGTGAGTGTGTGTGTCGTTGATTCTCTCACACCTTCGTCAACGATACTACCGAATGGCGTCTTGGATGAAGATCGTCGACTTTTGGAGCCATCCTCCAGGAGATGCGGTACTCGTATTGCTTTAAGCAGCGAGCTACCTGATTACGGGCATATCGGGGTTCTGCTTAGACGGGTAGATAAAGGAGGGATCAGTGCACAGTGGACAGTGGGCGGCACTTCGTAGTACATAGGTACCTTACGTTGCATGAATGCTTATGTACAGAGCACGGAGTATTTGTGGCTCTCCGAGGACGCCACAAAGCGCCCGACCCGAAATAAGCCTGGTCGCCGACCAGTCCTGACACTTTAATGGATGGCCAAGGCGCCGGCACAACCCTTCTTCGGAAATTTGTCAACCCAGCCTCTTAGTGTCTCCCGCTTCGTCGGGGGTAGAGCCGTAAACGGCAATGTACCCCCACCAAACAAACAAGGCCCGCGGTCAGCCCAAGCCTCGACTAAGCATGCATGACATGACAGAAGTATCAGAAGTAGAAAGAGTAGAAGTGGCCAGTGCGTACCGGCGACCAAAGTCCACTTGACGGACGCCGCCGTGTCAGAGCACAGAGGCTGCCGCCCTGTTTCTTCCTCAGGCGGTTGGTTACCGCTACGCCAGTGAGCAGCGCACTCCATTTCTATGCATCTTTCAGGTCTTATGGAAGAAAGGGAACATTCCTACGGCAGAGAGAACTAGTTTTGCCGCAATCACCTTTTTGCGAAATCGTACAATGTCGCTGGGACAACGCACTTGCTTGACCGGAGGGGTTCGTCCATCAACCTCCCACCGGAGAAAAAGGGCCAACAAATGAGCTGCCAACTGGACTTTCGCATCACACAGAAGTACCCACGTTGAGTTGCAGGTTGCTGGGGTTCCAGAAGTTCTTCCTTCTCCACCTTGCCATTGTACTCGATTGGGATTCGTTCGATACTTGTGGCTCTCCAGCAAGCATGATTGGCCGCTACTGATGGTATTGCAACGTTGCAGTCTTCTCTTCTCTTCTCTGCAAGTGCAAGTGCAAGTGCAAAGTACTCCTCACAGGGGTTTGTATCCGAAGGTACGGAGTATTTGCCGTGGGAGACTCGGTGGACCGTGCACAGGTCAGGGACAGCGGATAGCCTTCTCATCCCGGGGCTGGCCGGACTCTCCCGCGAACGAAGGAACAAACGAACGAATGACATGAGAGACGCCACATGAACGATGCTTATCAAGACCGAGTCCGAGTTTACGATGATGGTGGTTTTGTACCTTATGTGACTAAGCAATGAGGGCGACTCCCAATGGCAGCCGCGGACGACTAGGAATCCCTGGATCTGTTAAGAGGGGTGGATTTCTTGGCTTTGCGGGCTCTTTAGATAGGACAGACAAGTCGGCAAAGGAAAAGCCGCCTGGAACCGGCCATGAAACGAGCGGTCCGTCTCTCCCCTTTCTTTTCTTTATCGGTGAACAATCCCCTTCAAGACTTCACCGTTATACTGCGACACATCGGCCTTGTTCATCCTGGTAGACTTCTTCAGTATGACGAACACACCCAATGGGCGGTGGAACGGCTGGACTAGGCAAGGCGATAGTTTCCCCGCAATACGGCCGGCCAACGGATCTTGTTGACCCCGTTCGTGATCCGCTTCGCCTCGATCCGCTTCGCCGGTCGTCCGAAGCAGGCTACGATTCCGGATCCCCACGACGACACCAATGACTAAGAAGACCCTGTAAATTAGATAATGCCAACCTTTTCTTACCCAGGATTCTCCGCAAAACCGTCGATCCCGTCAGGACGTTTAGGCTTGGGCTGTCCAGGTTTCTATCTGACATGCTCAGGCGCGAAAAGCAAAAAGCAAAAAAAAAAAAAAAAGCAAAAACCTGGGGTAGACTACGTCGATGGCTGTACGATGTGCGTCTACGTTTCTCGATTCGTGGACTTGATGGGTGTCGGGGGGGCCCCCATCTGGGGTATGATCGCGCAGGGCTTTCTCAAGCTACGCCTACCGACACTTTGGTTTCGGACGTTTAACTTTGTTGGTTACGCGTGCCTTCGGGCCTGGCTGGTGATGGTGTTGATATGAATCGTCGCTCCGGAGTCTCGAATAAGTAACGGTCAACTTTCGTCCGGGGATTGCTGCTGCTACCATTTTCGGTTATGAAGTAATTATTCGTAGAATCACAGCTGTGGTACGGCAAAATTGGTCTCTGGAGGACCTTACGGAGCGCTACGCTCTCCCCCTGCCAGATAATCACATGTCAGCACCTCGGACCCATTTTGGGAGGATGGCCGCAACGCAACATCGATGCCCTCAGCGGGGGGGGGGGCCTTGAACAAGGGTCGCGTGCACAGATCATATTTGAGACATTGTATCCCCGTGGCGGTTATCATGCCCCTCGGGCACACTCCTTTTCGAGGAGGGACAGGGAAGATAGATCTCTATGTGATTTACATCGGTTGGGGAGGAGGTGCTGGCACTGGTGGGATACGAGAGATGCGTGCAATCGGATGGTTCCGAGCTACGCTACGCCGCTGACGCTGTGAGCTTCCAGGCGGAGGGGTTGCAAATAAGGTAGTTATCACAGGCGGCGGTCTGAATTGCATTTGTGAATATCCAAAGTCCAAAAAGACCGTGCGAAGTAAGGCAATTAAACAGGGAACAAAACAAAACTAGACAAACCGACCCTACCCGAATTGCCACGACGCCGGGGTCCTTGGGTTATGCATTCGTGAACCATTCATCACCTCGGCCTTGTCGCCTATGCTATGTACGTTGTATGCGCAGTGCTAGCGCCGGAAGCAAAAAAACGCAATCTCGTCTCGCCTCCGACCTTCTCTCGACCTTCTCGAAGCCTCCCCCCCTCCCCCCCCCGAGACAACCCTCAACTGATGCGCACCAGCCATCTGCCCCTTGTCCCACGGTGCGTCAGTAGACGAAGGGCAAGGTCGCATTGCATGGCGGTGCAGCGTTAGACTCGCACTCCTGACTGGCCGTATCGTAATGTATACCATGGATGAATATCAGCTGGTCGGCGGCACCCGAGCTCCAAGTGAAGGAAGACTAACCAAGGAAGGCCTGTCTTGTCATGGAGAACACTGCGACTCTACGTGTAGAATTAGACCTTTTATGGTTGAGGCGATGGGGACAGTTCACGAAAGCCCTTCATGTGATTCGTTGTCTGCAAGCTCCTCGACTTGGCAAGATGACGCCGGGATATCTGATCTGGGGGCGTCCAAGTGTTCATATATTTCAAGGTTTTTATTTTATTTTATTTGTTTTCTCGTTTATACCGAGGGGTAGAACGACCGTGACATTGTGAACCGTAAACCCGTTGGAGAGAAAATGGGAAAAAGGGGGAGGAGGGGCGGAAACGGACGGCGGAAATGTGGGAAAGGGGTCAGAAGGATTGACAAACGCCGTTACTTGCCGATCAGCGATTCCAAGGTGAGCGCAAGTCAAGCAAGCCACCATGCACCGTTGTTCGTTCGCAATGTTCTAGAAGTCCGGGACTATTGCTTCGTAGTTACGTCGCTACTGCATGCGTGTCTTGCGACTTTTTTGCTGCTACGCTTGTCGGCATGCCAAGTTCTCCTCAGAAGACGCATGGAAGGTCGTTCGAAGCCATGGACGGGTGTTTCCATGCGGGGGTGGCAGAGAAGCGAACGATATGAGATGGATTAAGAAAATAAGGAATAAGGGGGAACGGGGGGAGGGGGGGAGGGGTGAGAAAGGAAGAGAAGAGAGGGAAGATGGGAGAGGCAGAGAGGAGAGGGGGGGGGGGGGGGGGGGGGGGGGGGAGTGGGGGAGGCTGGGCGACGCATCTGGATCCTTTCCCGATGGGAAGTGGGAGGATGCTTTGCTGTTCCTGGGGCGTTGCAGATGTTGCGATGCGTTTCTGCAAGGCCGCCCGCAGCGCTGGCCAGCGCTTGCCACGACGTTATCATGCAAAACTTGTTACATCATAGAAAACGACGCTCGATAACAGATACTTGGTCTTATCCCCCTCGTTGTGCCGCCAGTTCAGACGCGAACGCGGGTTGGTAATCCAATATCGAGGGGCCCGAAAGGGGAAGCTGTTTGTCGTTGTTCTGTATATACAGGTATAACCGGGAGACGATGAGATGAGCCGGCGGGAAACAGGTAATTAGCGAGGGAACAGGACGAGAAGGGGGACGAGGGAAGACATTTGTTTTGGTGTAGACTACTAGGTGTTTTCAATTACGAAGAGAATGACATGTTGCCTCCATTCCTTGTCGACTTGGCCCAACCACAATCAAGGGTAGGAATGAAGCGAACCATGGGTGTCGGTGGTACTGTTGCCGGGCTGCTCGACACCTCTCATTCGACTCTTGTCAAGCTTCAGTGCCCATTAGTCTGCGCATTGGACTTGCATGAGGCCCGACTATACCAATCAAGCTATGTATCTGTTCATGGTTATATCTGCCAGAATTATGGCCTGATACTCGCGGGGTGGATGTTCGGTTGCTTTAGTTTTTCACACCCCCCCAAACAGACCCCCTTCTGTTCTCTTGCTCATTTCTGCGGCCCATGTTGACAGCTATCGCGCCATGGTATAATGTTGTCTGGACGTTGGACGACGAGGACCAGGGGATGACCTGGAAAATGTAGCTACCCATGCCTATCCAGTGTGGCATGGTTTGTGACCGTCTCAAAGGGCCACATGACGGGTGGTTGTATGGAACCGAGACTACGGTGCTGGGCGGGACAGCATGGGGAAGGACAGTGTTGGATGTGGGAGAGAAGCACGTACTCGCGTATCTGAGGACTCTTGGAAGTTGGGGGTTGAGGGAGGATGTGGCCTCGGGGTAAGGTGAAGAAGATCATTGTGGGTAGAGTGATTAAGGGTGTATGAATATATATGGTGAGGGCATGACTGTTCTCGACAGACAAGCGTCGCCAGCGTCGTGAGAGAAGAAATCAGAGAACATGGGTAAGGGGGGACATGAAATTCAACGCCTTGACGATGGACCACACCGTGCCTAGGTAGCTTTGACCAGTGCCAACATCTCCCGGTCTCCCTATTTCCAATTTCCATTTCTGCTTTCAACTGCGAATCCAATCTCTTTCCCTTTTGTCTCACGCACACTCTCACCCCACCCTCTCTCTCCTTTTTTTTCTCTTCTTTTTTGTCTTTCCTTTTTCTTTTTTTTCTTTTTTCCTTTCCCTACTCACAGCTTCGCGCCTCTCGCGCTCGGTGCGAACCCAACTCAAGCAGCCTTGGCAGCAAGCTCGGCCAGGATAGCCCCCTCCAGGCTCTCCGGCTTCGTGGTACTGGCCCACCGGCCCTTGACCTTGCCGTCGCGGGCGACGAGGAACTTTTCAAAGTTCCACTTGACGCGGCGGAGGCCCATGATGCCGGGCTTCTCCTCCTTGAGCCATTCGAAGAGCGGGTGGGCGGCGTCGCCGTTGACGTCGACCTTGTGCATGATGGGGAAGGAGACGCCGTAGTTGAGCTGGCAGAACTGCTGGATCTCCTCGTCCGACCCGGGCTCCTGAGCGCCGAACTGGTTGCAGGGGAAGCCGAGGACCTGGAAGTCGTCGCCGTGCTTCTCGCGGATCGACTTGTAGAGGGACTCGAGGCCGGCGTACTGCGGGGTGAAGCCGCATTTGGAGGCAGTGTTGACGATGAGGACTACCTTGCCCTTGTAGTCGGATAGGGGGACCTCCTGACTGCGGTCTGTTTTGGTTGTTAGCGTGCGTGTTTTGAATGCTGAAAGA